GGAGTGCCTGGCATGGTAGGGTTCAAGAAGGAAAGGTAAGGAAGAGACTAGAAATTCCACCCCAATGGGCAATCAGGCACTGGCTTTACAGTCTGAGTGGGCTATTTGGCATTTTCATGGGACACAATGGGGAGTAGCAGCAGCTGCCACCCTCAATATTCATTCATTTACTCTGCCTAAATATTTAGTGAGTGCTGTCAAGATGCCCAACACTGCTAGAAACTTATGATACACAAGAGGAGGCTGCCAGGCTCGACTCAGAGGAGCTCCCATCCAAGGGAGAAACAGGCATGTGGTAGGCACTAACCTGGCATCTTGGGCCATCTAGTCTGGTCTGAGGACCTTGGTCACTCAGCTCTGCAGAGGCTACAGAGAAGAAGGGGCTCAGGAGAAGGCAGTGGAGATGAGAATGTCAGAGAGCCCTTGGAAAGGGCTCTGCCTCTGGGACCAGTTCTGCTGAGAGGTGGTTTTATTTATGTATTTCTCCTTTGTACAAATTCCTTGCTTGTTAATGAAAATCATTTGACACATTTCTAATTAGCTTGCAGCCTCTGCAATCCTATTATTCCCTAATGCAACACCTGGGTTATTTCATGATCCCTATTAACATTTATGATTCTTGCAGTTGTCCACCAGAATTGGAGTCATTCCTTCTGCTACTTCTGGTGGGACCACAGAGGACTTTCTCTCCCCCTCATCCTGAAACTCAGAGTGGCCTCTGAGCTTCAGCATTGTCATCTGCATTTGGGGATATGATCGTCCTTAGCTCAGGGTTGTAAGGGCTTTAGAGACAGTATATGCAAAGTGGTGGCACAGTGGCTGGCACCTGGTAGGTACTGAGTACACTGTAGCTATTATGATGACTCTTGTTTTCAAGACAAGAGGGGCAGGAGGGTTCGGCCCTGGCTCCATGACTGCGGAAGGAAGCACTGGCAGGGGACTCACTGTACTGGCCTGCTGTGACCCTAGACGAGTCACCCCCTTTGTCTGTGCTCTAGCTCTGTACCCATTTCTCAAGTGCTTGGCTGAAAAGAGAAGTGCATGTTTCATAGAGCTACCCTGTCTTTTTTCCTCCCTCCCTCTTTCTCTCCTTTCCTTCCATCAACAAATACCTATGGGATCACATTCCAAGGGGTTTAAACAAACAAACAAAAAACCAAATACTACACACTAACAAGCATGTACTATTTGCCACTACTATAAGCACTGGGGAAACAGTGGTAAACAAAATATACAAGAACCTCAGTCCTCTTGGAACTGATACTCAAGTGGCAGAAAGTAATAAGTAATAAACCAGGATTATCAGACAAATGGAGGTGGAGGATTGACAATAAGAAAACTGCCAAGTTCCTTTCAAAGAGCTAAGTCCTTTCCTTCATCTATAATGGTTTATAGAAACTCACCTTATAAATATATTTTCCTCAGAGACAATTGGAGCATTGAGTGTTCTCAGCTGGCAGTGGGCAGCGCATGCTCCACTTGATGCTGGCACCTCCGTGGGCATCAGTCTCCTCCCCTGTGGAAGAGGGATGATTGCGTCTTCCTCACGGGGTTGTTGTGAGTATTCTGAGATCGTGTATCAGCACATTGCCTGTTGCATGGTAACATACATTCTTTCCACTGTCCTTGCCTTCTTTCCTGCTTAGAGCAGACATAGGCTGGTGAGGGTGTCCAATCAGGTCCCCTCCTTACCTTCTGGGCCCTGCTGCTATGGACAGAGCAAGAGCTTCTGAGCTGGCCCAGCATCTTAAACAAAGGTAATGAATGGGAGTCTGGGGTCCTGCTCTGTGCCTCTCCCCTGCCTTGCCTCCAGCTGCTCAGCAGAGGCTCTGGAAAAGGCAGCCACCCACCCACAGAAGGGAGAGTCTATGACTGCTGGACATTAGCCATGGCCAGAGAGGCTTTCCTCAGATCTGTTCTTGGCAGCAATAGTCAGCAATCCCTTTCAGGAAGCCCCTTTCACCTCCAACAGCCAGCAACAGCCTACAGGAGAAAGCCCCCCACCACCTGGGGTACTGGGGTGCTTACTAGGCACTGGATTTTGCAAGACTGTATTTCATCCTGTCTTTCCCAACAAGGCTGTGAGGTAAGGGCTGTCAGTGCCTCATTTTGCAGTTGAGGAAACTGAGGTTAAGTTTGCCTAAGCCACTTTCTTAATTTGTGACAGGATCAGCATTCAAGTTCAGGTTGTCCCTCCCCAGAGCCAGGGCCTTACACTGAGCTGTACCCTTTCCCCCTCAGTTATCCACTCCTCCGCAACCCCCACACCAAAGGCACGGGGGGGGGTAGAACAGCACTCCCTGGGGGATCTGGGAGTCCCAGGGGCATGTGGCACTTCACCCAGCTTACCCTGAGTGCTGGCTTTAACAGCTTTAAAACAATGTGAACTGTGCCTAAGAGAAATGCTGAAAGGAAGGAAATGCAAGTTCGAAGTGGCACAGTTGGTGGGACCCCCCCCCCAGGACATCTCATATCCCTCCTTTTATAGAGGAGAAAGTGGAGAACTGAGGGCAGGGGAAGTGAGGCTCCTGCATACAGAAATTTTGACCACATTGCAGATTTCCCAGTGGCCTCTGAAGCCCTGCACTGGTACCCAAACACAAGTGTTGAAAATGGCACAGGACTTAAACTGAGCTTCACCACTTACTTGCTGCAGGATTCCAGGCAAGTGGAGTGGCCTCTGAGCTTCAGCACTGTCATCTGCAGTTGGGGATATGATCATCCTTAGCTCAGGGTTGTAGGGGCTTTAGAGACAGTATATGCAAAGTGGTGGCACAGTGGCTGGCACCCCATAGGTACTGAGTAAACTATAGCTATTATGATGACTCTTGTTTTCAAAGTTCAGCTTATGTGAAACAGTGACTCCCTTAGATGTTGCTGTGATTCTGTGGTGCTGCTGGAATCCATTCCTAGCACCAGAGAGGAAACAACACTCATGGTCATTTCTGAGCATTGAAACCTATCCCAGGGAGGGCCAGTTCTGCACCCACTTGGGATTAGAATCTGAAACAAAGACCACAGACTATAGCCAAGGTGGTGATTCCTGGTCTCTGGCTCTGCCAGAGTGCCTGTGGCTTCAGGCATGTTACTCCACCTCTGTCTATGTAGAATTCCTGTCAGCCAAATGAGCATGGTCATTACCCCCACCCCATCCCCATCATCCCTAAGGGAGGTGCCCATGTAAGGAAGAGCTGTGGTGAAGTCATCTAGAGAGGCTATACTCCACTTCTGTGCAGTCTTTCTGGGGGTGGAGGCCAAGGAAGCCTCTTGGAAACAGAACTACCAGGGAGTGACCATTTGGGGCCGATAGATAGCATCCTCACCACTGAGCCCTGGGCAGTAACTGGTGAGACGTTAGAAACCCTGCCACATTCCAGCCCATTCCACCCTCCCTCCTTCCCCCCATGGAGCCTCCCTTTTGGAGTCACCCACCAGAAGCCCCATCAGCCTCGGTTCAGTCAGCAGGGTCCAGCTTCATCCCTGTGATGAGGGATGAGTTTGAAGCCTTTCACCGGGAAGTGATGTGATGTCTCCAGATCCCACATCCAAAGGCAACTAGATATGCACAGACCAGGCTGGGATGAGGGGAGCAGCCTATGACAGCCAGTCTTTCACTGGGCTCACCTGAGAGATTCATGAAAATGGGGGCATCAGGAGGGGAGTTCCTTTACATTTTCTTGGTTGACCTGAGAGGCCTGTGGAGCCCGATTCCTAAGGAGCAAGGTCTTTCCTGGCCTCCCACAGATGGCATGACCACTGGATCTGCCCTGTGATTCCTGTGGAAACAGACGGTGGCTTCACAGTGGTTTTCTCCATCTATGCAAACAAGCCCTGGCCCCTAGTGCATTAATCTCCCCAGGCAAGAGAGACCTGGGAGAGCATCTGGCATCTCCACGCCCCTGCCACTGCACCTGCCACACCTTGTTCCTGAAACTCTCTGCTACTTGGGTAGACGCTTTGTGAGGCCCTCTTTTGTGCATTCTCTTCTTTCGAGGTCCCATTCCTGCTTGGGTTAGTTTTGGACTAGTCTGAGTGTCCTCATGACAGGCTTCTGAGTGAGGGTATCAAAGTTACAGTGATGACCCTGGGTTTTCTGCAGTGATGACCCTGGGTTTTCTGCAGCGATGACCCTGGGTTTTCTGCAGCGATGACCCTGGGTTTTCTGCAGCGATGACCCTGGGTTTTCTGCAGCGATGACCCTGGGTTTTCTGCAGCGATGACCCTGGGTTTTCTGCAGTGATGACCCTGGGTTTTCTGCAGCAAAAACCCAACTAGGGGATTCTTCACTTCAACAGAAATGTGTTGATTATGTGTGCGGTTCAGTCTCTAGTGCTGGAGAAATGGAGAAACACCAACCGATTTTACTTCTGTCTTTCAGGGTGGTGCTCATGGGACGCTTGTGGGAGGCATGATGTTGTGACCTCAGCTTGCCTGATTTCCCAGGTGGCTTCATTTGGAGGCTGGACCCTATGTAGGTGTTTGGAGGAGCCATGGTGTCCAGCAGTACCAGCAGGAAGCAGACTCCTCACCAGCTCTGTCTCTGGCATTCAGGGACCTCCTGAGTCAGACTCACCCAGGCTGGCCAACCTCAACTCCCATCAAATCCTAGGCCCCCTGCAACGCCAGGCATCTCTCTCCCTTGAACGCATCAAGCACTTCCATCCTCTGGATCTTTGAAGGCATATTCCTGCAGTCCCACCCCTGCCCTCACCTCCCCCTTCCTTGCTTCTTAAGTGATTCGTCCACCCTCTCTGAGAGCTTTCCCAAAGACCACCTTACAATAAATTATTTCTTCCTCTATTGGATCCCTACTTTGTTGTTACACATCTATTCATTGAGAGCTCTGTGCCCGACCCTGTGCTGGTCTCCTAAAACTCATCTAAGCCGCTTGCCTTCCACCTGGAGTGAGAGTAGTTCGTGCCTGATTCTCAGTGCCTCTAGGGCTGGGGCGGAATCTCAATATCTGTGTCCTCTCACCACTGCGTTTTGCACTTCGTCAAAAGGTGTCAAATGGAGAGATGGCTTGTAGACTGGGCTCTGCCCACTAATTAGCTGTGTGGCCTCGGGAGAATCATCCGGGCTCTCTGGCTTCCCTTGTTTTCCGATGAAATAACGCTGACGATGATATTTCAGAGTTGTCCAGGGGTCAATGAGGCGGGATGAAGGGAAGCATCGTGACATCTGGGAGCCTTAGGCCAGTGAAAAATGTGGAATGGCTGTACCCCCACTCTCCTAGCACTGGATGTGAGGCAGCATCGTTTCCCCTTCTCTCTCTTCGAATGTCAAGTGCACCAGCTTCCAATCCCTCCTCTGGGCGGGCCTTGTCTGGGCTAATCTCGGCTGCAGATTCCAGTACAAACTCAGGACTCTCCCCCACCCAGCCGCCCCTACCCAAGGACTCGCCAAACACACCTTGAATCCCGCGCCAGAGCGCAGCCCGGAACTGCAGCTCCGCGGCGTGGGCCCAGGTCGGGGGTCGCGCGTCTCCAGCCGGTGACTCAGGGCCGCTCGGTCAGGGGATGGGTGTGGGTAGGCGGGACCGACCAGGGCCGCCCGGGGGCAGCTGCCGGGCATTCGGTCACCTAGCGGTGGGAGCGGAGGCTGGCTTTGGCCAGTCGCCATTCTGCCGCGGGCGTCTGTCTCGCCAGGTTCCCGGGCGCGGGAGGAAGGCCCGCGCCGCTTTCCACCCGGCGCGCTTCTCTTCCCGTGCGCAGTGGCAGGGTGGGTCGGCCGGCGGTGACTGGAGCGTGGGGCTGACCCTGCGCGCGAATGAATGGGCGCCCGGGGGACGCGCGCGCCTGGTGCTGAAGGGCATTAGGACCGTGAGGATCGCTCTGCGCTCCGTCTCTCCCTAACACCCCCCCCCGGCCCCCCCCAATCTCTCTCCTTTTTCTGCTCTGCAGGACTGAGCAGCTAGGCGCGAGCGAAAACAAACAGCTGGGGCTGCGAGCGTCCCCGCCCCGGCCCCGAGAGCACGCTGGCCCCGGCCCCCATCCGGGGCGCCCGTCTGTCCACCATGAGGAAGATCCGCGCCAATGCCATCGCCATCCTGACCGTAGCCTGGATCCTGGGCACTTTCTACTACTTATGGCAGGACAACCGAGCCCACGCAGCATCCTCCGGCGGCCGGGGCGCGCAGAGGGCCGGCGGGAGGCCGGAGCAGCTCCGCGAGGACCGCACCATCCCGCTCATTGTGAGTACGCCCGGAGCGCGGGGCTGCCGGCTAGGGAGCAGCTGCGCGCGTCCAGCCCCTGCGCGGTGGCCGAGAGTGCGGGGCCCGGCCAGGGGCTGAGTACCCGCTGCGCCGGGCCGGCTTTGTATATGCTGGAGCATTCCTGCCCGTTGTTATGGCAACCTCTGCCGGCTGCAGGGCCGGGGCGCACCGACTAAGGGAGGGTGACAGCGGGTGGGGGCTGGGAGAAAGTGCTGCAAGTTTGGTGGGCCCGGCGTGCGCGCGCGGCTGGGAACGTGGCGGCTCTCCCCGCTCTGCACTGCCCGGGCCGGGGGCCGGGGTGCTGCAGAAGGCTTGTGTGCCCTGGGAGGCGGCCGGACCCAGAGCGCGGCCAGCGGGCGGTGGCAGTCACTCGCAGCCGAGCGTGTAGGTGGCAGTGCGCAGCCCTTCTCCGTTCTGGGGGCAAAGGACATCGGGTGGGGGGCGTGGGTAGGGATGGCTCTCTAGGCGCTGCGCCTGGCTTCGTGCCCCCTTCTGAGCCCGGGTCAACTTGAACCTGCTTCTTCGGCACGGACACCCAGCTCCCCGAGAGTTCTCTGGGCTGGGGAGTGGTCTCGTCCTGTACCGGTCCCTCACTCCCAACATTAGGGTCCGCTACTACGGGTAGGCGGGCGGTGTCGGCGCCCGGGCTTGGCGATACCCTTGCGTGAAGTCAGCCTCGCGACATCCAAGCGGGCGGAGAAACAAAGGCGGTGTGGCACAGCGGGGGCGGCGGCGGGGCTGCGGGGGCCCTTGGCACTCTGGGGACCCGGGCGGGGGTGTGCGGAGCCGCAGCCGCCCTGCAGGGGGCGATCCTGCTGCCGTCTCTGTCCGAGTCCCAGGTGACTGAGCTGTGTGTGGCGAGGCAGGAGCACCTGTTGAGGCGGGAGGCTTTGGCACCCGCCGAGAGCGCGCTCGGGCAGGCGTGTTCTTCCAGACTGGGCGGTTGGTGGTCTGGAGCCTCGGGCGACCTTCGGGACATGCCAGGGCGGGGCAGCCTGGCCGGATGAGGACCAGGAAGAGGAGAGCCGAGTGGTGCAGGGGGAAGGGAATGAGGGAGCGTGGCGATTCCGACAAGGAAAGATCTGGGCTTGTGGGAGAAGGGGTGAGGAGCTCCTCGGGGAGGTGCAAGGTCCGGAGGGCTGAGGCCTGTGTGGAGACGAATCTGAGAAACGCGTCCAGAGGCAGAGCTGAACCCGGGAATATCGAGAAGTTCATTGGAGAGCATCGCCTCATATTCCTATCCCACCCCAGATTCCGAGTCCCCCGTAAAGGAACCATTAGTTCAGGCTTTGCCTGAGGAGACTGGCGGGGTGGAGTTGTGCGTTTTGTCCTAGATCCCGGTCTGGGCGAACTCTCTGAGGGCAAGCCTGATTAGGTGCAGTTCTCCCAGGACAGTTTCCAAAGCACTTGTCGCCGTTTGGACAGAAAGCTGATAAGGAAAAGCCTCCTGTGCTGAGACCCCAGAGTGTTATGATCTGAGAAGAGGGACAGGTTGGACCTGGAACTGTCCAAACCAGTAGTGGCCTCCAGACCCCAGGGAGCTTCCTTCCCAGGGGCGCAAGCTGCCAATTCATACTCTGTGAGAGGAACAGCCCTGGTCTCAGGCAAGGCAGGCTGGCCAGATGCTCTGTCCCTCTTTCCAGTGAGACGATGGGAGGAGGGTCTGAGTTGGAAGGGGAGGAGAAAGAGGCCGAGAGAAGAGGAGGGAAGAGAGCTGAGGGGACTGCTGCTTTGGAATGCGGAACCTGTACCCTGAACCCTGAACCTGGCCCATGCACCTCTCTCCTCCTTCCAGAGTCCTGCAAATCCACTGGGAGGGCCGCTCACATTTCTCAAGAGTCCCAGAATGGCATAGGGGACCGTGCTGGAAGGATTCAGCACTCATTTTGAGGGGTGGGAATCAGAGGTCATGAGAGTCACCAGTAAACATCCTCTTGTCCCTACTTATTCCCACAGGATTTGACTTGCTGCAGGTAAGAGAAGGGCTCATAGTGGGAAGCTAAGCTTAAAGTATGAAGGAGTATCAGGGAGATACCTGGGAGCTGGGAAGTGAAGGTGCAGGAAGAAAGGAAGGATGGAAGTTCCTGGGAGTGGGAGAGCCTTCTGTGGCCACTTAGGGGCACAGCCAGCTCCCTCTTTGTTCTTAAGCTTTAGCCCTCATGCCCGTTCCACCAGCACTGGCCCCTAGTCACGCACCACCTTTGACACTGCCTTGCATTGTATCATTGTAGTTCTCTCTTCCAATTACTTCACTTCCATGTGATTTGCATCTGAATGTAAGTGATGCAAACAGGAACTATGCTGGAAGCTCCTTGCAGCCACACACTGATGCACACAGCAAGACTTTCTGCTTTTTTTGAGATGGAGTCTCACTCTGTCTCCCATGCTGGAGTAAGGTGGCATGATCTCAGCTCACCACAACCTCCACCTGCCTGGTTCAAGCAATTCTCATGCCTCATGCTCTCGAGCAGCTGGGACTACAGGCATGCATCATCACTCCCAGCTAATTTTTGTTATCTTTAGTAGAGACAGGGTTCCACTGTTGCCAAGGCTGGTCTCCAACTCCTGAATTCATGTGATCTGCCCACCTTGGCCTCCCAAAGTGCACAGCAAGACTTCTTAAAGGAGTGAAATAAGATTCTCACTCATTTCTGGGAGCAGTCAATGCTTCACATCCCTTTAATATTATTATATTATATTCATATCACCTTAATATTTTATTCCCAATTGTAACCTGACTCTATGTAAGTAGGTAGGGGGATGCATGTTCAAGCTTCTGCAGGCATTGAACCCTTTTTTCAACTTAAAAGGGGCAGGTGCAGCTGAAGATTTACTTTCTCCCTGCAATTCGTGGTAACCACTTATTCAGAAACATTTTTCTGTCTGGTTGGGCCAGGACACTGCGTGTGGATTTTCAGATTCCTAGAGAATGATGTGGCTAGCCCTGCTGTCAGAGGCTGGCAAATTCAGACAGACGTCATCCTCACTCCCCTGGGGAATCAGAGAGCTGAGCTGGGAAAGGGAGGGTCTGCAGAAGTGCCTGGACCTGGAGGCAGCTCTGCTTTCACAATGTCTGGGCTATTTGAAGCCAGCCAAGTTGCTTCTGGACCTTGGAGATGCTTGTTTGGCATTACAGAGTGTCGGCATGGCAACCATGTGGCCAGCTTTCTCAAGGAGGTCCTGATTTTTAATATTCTGTCCTGCTGTCGGCCCATGTGTCACCAATTTTGATGTGAACAATTTGGTTATGGAATCTGTGAAACTAAAGGAAGATACTGATTCCTCTATGGCTGCTTACGAGGCAGCAAGGTTTGTGATTTTTCTATGCCGTACTTGACAGGCAAGGCAGTAGGTTTGCGGACATCTCCTTGAATCTACACAGATGCATGCTGGCACAGGACAGCAGCCAAACTGGGAGGCAGGGCAGCCGCGGCCGGCCTTGAATCTTTAGTCCTCACAGCTGGGGGGAACATTTGTGGCTGTTTTGGTTTGGGACTCAGGTTTCCATATGCCAGTTCACTAACAGGCATGGGTGGGAGGCTAAGGTGTTACATGGAATATCACTTTACACTTTTTGAAAAGACTATTCATTATGGGTATTTTCAGTATAGGTGTACTCATTTGCGTCAACAGTCTCCTATTTAGAACTGTGAAAGATTTAGGCAAGGGTTTTCCTAAACCGGAGTTTCTTAGCCTGAAATTGGGGTGCTGCTGAATGGCCATAGACAAAATACTTAACATCTCTGGACCTCTGTTATTTTGTGGGCTGAAGTTGAGTTCAAAGATTTGCAAGGTTTGTTGATCCTGAGATAAGCAGATGACAGCTCCGTTTCTAGGAGTAAGTACACGGCTTCAAGGGAGTTCTCCCAAAGAGTGTTATGAAGCTTCTGCCTATGGAGGAACATGTTCCTCTCAGGGGAAGTTCCCGCAGGAGCCCTTGAGACCTTGCAGGAAGCCCCACTTACCTCCAGAAGGGGATGCAAATGATGGCTTTTCTGGTAGTGTTCTCAGACAGCAGATGCTTTAATAAGATCTAGGGGAATTTATATTTTATTTATAATGTGTGCATTTTGGAACTGTGGGAATATGCTTTGCCTAAATATAATAACAGAAAGTGATTTTGTATTTAATTGGTTTAGGTACCACACTCGAGAAAGCAAGTGAGGAGGAAGAAGCACAAACACCCACAATTCCCTTTGCCAAAATGTTTGGAATTTTTTTTCTTTTCTTTTTCTTTTCTTTTTTTTTTTCTGGACACAAGCTCTCTGTCACCCAGGCTGGAGTTCAGTGGCACAATCATGATTCACTGCAACCTTCACCTGTTGGGCTCAAGTGATTGATTCTCCTGCCTCAGCCTCCCGAGTAGCTAGGACTGCAAGTGTGCACCACCATACCTGGCTAACTTCTGTATTTTTTTGTAGAGATAGGGTCATGCCATGCTGCCCAGGCTGGTCAAACTCCTGAACTTAAGGGAATCCTCCCACCTTGGAGGATTTGTAATACCAAAGTGCTGGTATTACAGGTGTGAGCCACCATGCCTGGCCCAAAATGTTCCAATATAAAGGGCCTGATTTCCTGTCAATGGGTTCTGTTCCTGGGCCATTTTGAGACCTACCTCAGAGACATGAGGTCAGCCCAGAGGCAACCAAGACTAGGGGTGGGGAGGTGAGCTGGCAGCCTGAGAGTCACTTCCCTGGAAGGCCAGAGGTCCAAGGGCATAGGACTAGTTTTAGGGTGCTGTTCATTCTTCTGCAGATCCTTTATTTCTGTGCTGTAGCAGTAATCCCCCTCACCCCCCAGCTAATCTGAGAGCTTTGGGAGCATGGCTTTCTTCCCTAGTGGCTGTGTTTGCCCTTTCTGCAGGCAGAGGAAACCCTTGGGTCTGGAAATGCCATTTAAGATAGAGGTAGGAGTCCACTGTAGACCAGGGCCAGGCTGAGATGCCCATGGGACTGTCTCACTGTAATGGAGGAATCTTC